TTGTTCTCTTTTTCACTCTCTTGTGAACGTTTTCTTATTCGGCGTTTCGACATTTGGCGGGAGGTGGGGAGGGGGGAGTCTGGCTCTGGACCCCTGCTTAATGCGACTGTTTGCGACACGATTATGATAATAGCGATGATGATGATGATGATGATGACGATGGTGGAGATGAAAGCGCAGATGGTGATCACGCCCGCCGATAACGATGAAGATGTCCTTGCGCCGGCGATGAATGTTTTGGAAGGAGGTCGCCATGCGCGCGCGGCCGACGCGCGCGAGTGGCCCGCGTGGTATTGTTTGACACGGGTCGTGCCCGCCCAGCAGCACTCACGCAAGAGCGTTCGAACGATTTCGACATGCGGCACTAGAGGCCCTTTTGGCAAATTTGATCTAAACGTAAGAAAATTTATCCTTTATTACAACCGCAAAACCGCGAACGCCAGATTTTCCTTTGAAGCCTGATGTTGCAAAACCATGTGTTTTGATACGTCTTCGGGGCTCTCGTTTTTGATATCCTTACGACACCGAAAGTTCATGAAGAATTTCGGCATTCGCGCTCGACGACGCGCGCATATTTCTTCACATGTTTTGCAAAGGGTTCTTGCGACAACACGCGCGCAAGGGCCTTCGAACGATTTCGACATGTGCGCGCGAGAGGCGCGGTTAATAGCATTGTATGAGAATTTTGGAGAAAAAAACTGAAGTGTTCGCCAACATTTGCAAAAGAGCGGGCGCAGGTCAAACAAAACATATCTTCGTGGCGCTCGATGTTCAACTCCTTTTTTTCTCGAAGCTGTAGATGTTTGAAAGATTGTGGCATGCGCGTGCGCACTTCGTCCCGTTTGTTGCAAGGTTTTTCTGGAAAACGGATGATTTGTGATTAACGAGTGTGCGCGCGTAACATCTCTTGCAGAGGATGAGGGGGGATCGAACTCAGGACTGGTTAGGGTGGTGCGAATTCATATTTAGGACGGACGATGGGGCAGAGTCATATGTACATTGTTATACGAGAAGATGGGCCGATAACCCCGGAGAAAGGGGGGTATATCCGAATACTCTTTTGGAAACGAGGATATATGTGGTGACATCAATGTTTTGCAAAATATGTGGCATATTGTTGCGCAAGATATGTGGTGCAATCTTTCTACTGCAATAGATGTTGTGAAAACTAAATTGTGCAGCCAATGTGGTGCAATTTATGTGCGGTGGCATCTACGTTGAGCAATGCACGCGCGATAAGTCTTAAACAACTCGAAGTTGTCGACTCCATTGCTCGCGCAATCATCCCACCGACCCAACCGCAAACTGGTTTGCAAAACCCATGTGGCGGCGACTGCGACGAGTACTGATGATTTGTGCATCCTTGCGGTCGCGTTAGCCCGCGACCGTGGTGGCGCTAACCGCCAAGCAGTTCCCGGCGCGTCTCGCAGGCCGCGCTCACGCGCGGGCGCGTCAGTGCGAGTCGGTGACTTGGGCGGGCGCGGTATCATGGCGACGTCGACAACGGTACACACGATGATGATAATAGCGATGCTGGCGGCGATAACGACGATGACGGCGGCAAGGCCAATGTCGTCGCCGATGCTGATCACGCGGATGACGACGATGATGTCATCGCGTCGGCGATGAAAGTCTTGAAATGAAATCGACATGCTCGCGCGGCCAACGCGCGCGAGTGGCCCACATGACATTAGTTTACAAGGATCGTGCCCCCCCTCCCCCCTTCCCAGCGCGCGCGCGCAAGGGCGCTCGAATGATTTCGACTTGCGTGCGCGAGGGGCCTTTTCTGTCGAATGCGAAGAACATGTTGCGTGATGAACATGTTGAAACAAAAACGACGGTTTTCTTAAGGGATCGCAGAAGCGCGCGTCCATTTTCCGAGTGCTGATGTTGCAAGCTCGCAACTTATATTTTGTTCGGGGCGCTTGGTTTCGAAATCCATACGTAACCCGCGGTTTTTGCGAGATTTCGGCATGCGCGCGCGACGACGCGCGCGCGTGCACTTCGTCCAGTTCTCTCGAAGGATTTCCGGGAAACTGGTGGTACTTCATAAACGAGCGCGCGCAATATATTTTGCAGAGAATGGCGGGGCAGCGAAGTCGAATCCGGTTTGGCCGGCGTGATGCTCCCGGGGGGGAGGGGGGGGGATCCGAATTCTTTCGTTGAGAGGGGCATCTACGTTGTGCAACCTATGTTGCGCAATCTCTCCTGCGCAGCGCCTGTGGCGCAATCTGCGTGGTGCATTCTACGCGTTGCGAGTCATTCTGAAAAAAAACTTGAAGCTGTCAGAACAGCTGCTCGCGCAATCACCCCACCCACCCACTCGCTATTCGGCTTGCAAAGCCCATGCAGCGGCGGTTACGATGGGTGATTGGCGTTGGCTGGTGCGTCTCTGCGGCCGCGCTAGCCAGCGCGTGCTCGCGCGCGTAGCAGCCAGCTTGTTTTGGCGCGACCGACGCGGCTGCGGTGGCAATGGCCGCTGGACACTTCTCAGCTGGCACTTCAGTGCGAGTCCTTCTGCCTGGGATGGTGCGAACGCCTATAGGATGGGCGATGGGTCATAATAGTGCGCACATTGCAATGGGAGAAAAGCGAGCGGGTCAGTCCAGAAAGGGGAGGGGGTAGATCCCCATGCACTTTGGGAGGAAAAAAAAAGGACTCACCCTGCCGACCTTGAAATTGCCGACTCCACCGCTCGTGCAATCGTCCCGCGCGCTCACCCGCAAATTGGTTTGCAACGCCCATGCGGCGGCGACTGTGATGAGTGCTCGGCGCTCGCTGGCGCACCGCCGCGGCCGCGCTAGCGCGCAGGCTCGCGCGCAAATCGGCAAGCTGGCCTGACGCGACCGACGCGGCCACGGTGGCGCTGACCGATGGGGGCGCCCCAGCGCGTCTCGCAGGCCACGCTAGCGCGCGGGCGCTTCAGCGCGAATCGGTGACTCGGGCGGGCGCGATATCACGGCGGCGTCGACAACAGAAGACGCGATGATGATAGTAGCTAAGCTGGCGACGATGATGACGACGACGGCGGCAGGGCCAACGACAGCGACGATGCTGACCGCGCCGATGACCATGCTGGTGTCCTCGCCTCGGCGATGAAGGTTGCCATGGGGACTTCGACGTGCGCGCGGCCGACGCGCGCGTGTGGCCCGCGTGGTCTTATAAGAATTCGCAAGAGCGCGAACGCAAGTTTTTTTGTTGGAAGCCCCTGTTGTGAAACCATTGGCATCTACATGTTTCGGAATACTCGATGTCGACATCCTTACGAAACCTCATGTGTTTGAACGAGTCCGGCATGCATGCGCGACAACGCGCGGATGTGCACTTCGTCTCATCTGTTGCAAGGGACTATTGCGACAGCACGCGCGCAAGGGCGTTCGAATGATTTCGACACGCGCGCGCGAAAGGCACGCTTGGTAGCGTGTGATGAACGTGTTGAACAACCGTTTTGCTTAAAAGTGAGATCGCAAGGGCGCGAACGCAGTTTGTTATATAAAACATGTCTCGAGGAAAAAACCCTGTTGCGGAATCAGTGCTTCTATTTACGTGTATATATATACACATACATGTGTGTATCATGACGCTCGATTTTCTCAATTTCTCACAACATCTGGACCGATGTTTGAAAGATTTCGGCATGCGCACGCGATGACGCGCGCGTGCGCGCTTCGTCCCCATTGTTGCAAGGGGTTCTTGAAACTTTATGATTTTTGATAAACGAGTGCGCGCGAAGTATCTGTTGCAAAGGATGAAGGGGGGTCGATAACCGACTGCCTGGGATGGTATGAGTTCAAATTCGAGGTGGATGAACGTGCAGAATCACACACGAAAACAGGAGAAGGTGACCCGTCAAGTCTGGGGGGGGAGAGGAGAGCACATGTGCTGGGCCATCTGCGCTGCGCCATCTTCCCCAAACAGGGCCTGCACCTTGGGGTTCTGGACTAAGGAACTACAGGCAGAATTTATTGCACAGGACACGCGACAGGACACAAGACCATTCCGACGGCAACGTGGCCTCCAACAAGGGTGCCTGCAACATGACCTCCAGCATGGCCTCTTCCCAGGACTGCAGAGGACACGACGCGCGATGCATAGGACACAAAGGTACCCTTAATTTGGCAGGATCGACCTACTAATCCGGGCCGACTGTAAGCCTGCAGGCCGTTTCGGCGGCTACGTAGTCACCGTCGCCGCCCCGTCGCCGCCCGCCGTCTGAGCCTGCGGGCCGGCCTGGCGGCCATGTGAATCGCCGTCGCCGCCTCGTCGCCGCCTCGTCGCCGCCTCGTGGCCTCGGCCCGTGCGTCGGTCTTGCGGCTATAGCGTCGCCGTCGCCGCTCCGTCGCCGCAGACAATGCTTACACTTACAGATTCATGCCGTGTTCTGAGGAACTGGGCCTGCGTGTTGGCCCCGCGGCTATGTCGCCGCCGTCGCCGCCGCGTCGCCACCAGTCGTCTGGGCCTACACGTTGGTCACGGATGCATGCTTTTGAGCAGGCGGATCACCTTCGGCGACACGGCCCACTGCTCAAACAGGCATCCGTGGCGAGCAACCCAAGTAGCAATCCACTGAGCTTGAGAGTCGTTGAGGCCAAGGTCCCGAAGTCTCTGCGACGAGTCCGCGGCGGCATGGAGTCAACCCAAGACGATTTCGCGCACTGCCTGGTCGAAGGCCTTGACCAAGTACACGAACTACACGAAGCATGGGCGCCCAGTGGAAGCACAGAAGTCGCAGAAGGACCACACAAGGTACGCCGCGAGGTCGGCGCCGCGGTCTGCAACAGCCCCATGATGGGACTCCAGCATGATGGCGTTGCACGTTGGGGTCACGCGGCCACTGACGAGCAAGGATCGCCCGAAAAAGTGTTTGTAGTATTCGTTTTTCCCTCGTTTTGTCTTTAATCCGCTTGTGCTGCAAAACAAAATCGAAACGAACATGGCCCACGAGATCGCCCAAACACCGTTCAGGTCGAGCCCTGCTCCGGCATGAAGGGGTTGCACACGGGAGTCACGTGGCCACTGAGGTGCTGCTTGAAGCCCTTGTCCGCGTGGTCCTCGAGGGCGATGCCGCGGGATTCGTCGCAGCCCTCCCGCGGCCCTTCCTTCTTGTATGTGTTCTGCACGCACCCGCCCGTCCAGGCGGCGGGCCAACACTCGTCGTTGACGATGCCCTGGTAGATGGAATCCAGGGGGTGGTTGACAACGTCACCAGCTGCCACGAGCAACTCGAAAGGGACGCCATCCCGGCCTGCCCCCTCGTTGCGACCGAGCTGGCGGAGCGGCGCGCCAACAGCCGCAAATGTGATGACAAGGCTCGTCCGTGGTCGCTGGCTTGCCATTGAAGACGTTCCCCAAGTGTTCCTGCCACCGTCCCTGCCGCTCCGCCTCGGAGCTCGACAGAGCTCCAGATTTGAGGCGGACAGGACGTGCGGAGGAGCCCGCGCCGCGTCCGCCGAGGGCACGCACGACACCAAAGGTGGTGCGTCAGTCCCGACGCGCGGCAGCCAGCTGCGCCTCCTAAGGCACGCGCTGGAGTGTCCTCGGGTCCTCCTCCTCCTCCTCCTCCACCTCCTCCTCCTCCTCCTCCTCCTCCTCCTCCACCTCCTCCTCCTCCAACTCCAACTCCAACTCCAACTCCTCGCCTCCTCCCCCTCCTCCTCCTCCTCCCCCTCCTTCTCTCCCCCTCCCCTCCTCCTCCTCCTCCTCCTCCTCCTCCTCCTCCTCCTCCTCTCCTCCTCCTCCTCCTCCTCCTCCTCCTCCTCCTCCCCCTCCTCCTCAATCCGAGAGGGGCCCGGGCCCCAGATCCACAGATCTCCCGAGGCTGCGCACGTGCCCCCCTTGGCTCCCCCGCAGCTCGTCGCACGGCCTCTCCGGTGCCAGGGGGGCCCCAAGACGGGCGACGCCAGCAGGGCCAGCGGGGCCGCCCCGGGGGGCAGCAGCAGCCGCCGGCACACCGCCATGGGCGCCGTCGAGCGCAGACCCAGAGATCCAACGCACTGACAAAATCAAGGCGGAGGCTTCATGCAGATTTCGGCCCCTGGGGGCCCTCGCCGGGCCTCGGGGCCGTCAAAAAACGACTCGGGATGAAAAGCCGGTCCTGGGGACTCCCTGACTCTGGATCCGCCCTACTTTGGGGAAATTCGTAAGTAGGGCTTGGAATGTCCGCCTTACTTTTCAAGCCCCGCCGATGCCAGTTTCCGCCCTACCTTTCTGCTGCCGTTTCTTCCGCCCTACTTTTTCGGCTTATGGGTGGATTTCCGACGCAATTTTACGTTGGAAGAAAAAAAAAGCCAAAGTAGGGCGGATCTGGAGTCAGGGGGGCCAAGAGGGCCCCAGGAGGCCGTCCAGTCGGTCCAAGAGGGCCCCGAATCGCCGAGCGGTTGGTCCAAGACACCCAAAATTGCAGGGAGACGGCGGAAAAGGCGCCCGAGAAGCCCGAAGAGAGGGCCAACAGACACCCCAAGAGGGCACCAAGAGACAAACACCGTATTCCTTGTAGGACGCCGTGTATTTTTGGCATTTACGAATTTTCTACCTCTCGGCGTTCAAGACAGCCCAAGAGGCCCGCAAGATCGCCCCAAGACGGCCCAACAATCCCCCAAGAGAACCCCCAAACGGCCCCAAATGGGGCCCAAGAGGGGGAGCCCGAACCGGCAATTCGAGTTTTGCGCCCCAAGATGCCCCCAGGAGGCCCCAGGAGGCCGCCAAGAGACCCAGAGGACCCCAAGATGCCCCAAAGACGTCCCAAGAGGCCCCAAAACGGCTCCCAATGGCTTCAACACTACCTCCAACAGGCCCTCGAGAGGCCCCACACGACATCCAAACGATTTTCAAGAGGCCTATGAGCCACAACCCAGGGACGGTGGTGTGATGGGCGGGAGGCCATTCTATATATCATAAGTACGACATATACACAGATGCATGTGTATATCGATGTATCCGTCTCTGTCTCTCCACCTCTCCGTCCTGTCCTTGCCTTTTTCTGCACCGGACGGGCAAAGCAGGGGTCGCTCAGGGGGTGGGTGGGAGGAAGGAAAGATGTAGGTAGGAGACGGGAGGAGGAGGAGGAGGAGGAGGAGGAGGAGAAGGAGGAGGAGGAGGAGGAGGAGGACGGGGAGGGGGAGCAGGAGGAGAAGGAGGAGGAGGAGGACCAGTGGAAATTCAAGAGTCATCAACGATTTTGGAATTAACCATCCCTCCAAGCTCCCTCTTCATAGGCCCCGAGAACGGTTCATTTCCATTGAGGGAGCTGCCCCGTTGGAAGACAACAGTTTGAAGATCCTGAAGCGTGCCACAGCATTATTGTCGGGATTTCAACGCCACGCATCAACGTGACTGCTGCGTCTTGACGATCAAGAAATCGTGCCAGACCGCCATGATTGGGACTTCAGCGCAGCAGATCAACATAACTGTTGCACCCTCATAATCCTGAATCCTTCCAAAACACAAGTTCTGGTACGCTGATCATGGGAACCCGTGAAACTCGTGCATTTTTGTATGGAAAAACGACTGAGCGCGGCGCTCAAGCGAGAACCACATGTTGAAAAGGGCCCGCCCTCAATCCGTGAAACTCTGGTAAATTCTGAAAACGAATGTGCGCGGCGCTAAGGCGAGAGCCACATTTTGAAAACCACCAGCCCTCAGTCCGTGAAGCTCTTGCACAGTCTTACAACGAATGTGCGCGGCGCTGAAGCCAGAGCCACATGTGGAAAACCACCGACCCTCAATCCGTGAAGCTCTTGCAAATTCTGAAAGCACATGTGCGCGGCGCCAAGGCGAGAGCCACATTTTGAAAACCACCCGCCCTCAATCCGTGAAGCTCTTGCAATTTTTGAAAACGAATGTGCGCGGCGCCAAGGCGAGAGCCACATTTTGAAAACGACCCGCCCTCCATCTTTGAAACTCTTGTCACTTGTTAAGCTTCAGTGTCATAATTGGTGAGGAAGTCTCAGGCGAAACGCCCAGCCCGCCCTAAAAACTGGCCTCGGGGTGCGACAGGCAGGAGTTATCTATAAGGAGAAGGAATGGAGGAGCAGGAGGAGGAGGAGGAGGAGGAGGAAGAGGAGCAGGCAGGAGGAGCAGGGAGAGGAGAAGGGAGGAGGGAGGCCAGAGGCACGCAGGAGAACGGATGAGGAGGAGGAGGAGGAGGAGGAGGAAGAGGAGGAGGAAGAGGGAGGAGGAGGAGGAGGAGGAGGAGGAGGAGGAGGAGGAGCAGGAGCAGGAGCAGCATGGGGAGGAGGAGGAGGCGGAAGAGAAGGAGGAGGAAGAGAAGGAGAGAGAAAGGAGAGAGAAAGGACGAAGACGAGGACGAGGAGGAGGAGGGACTCTGAGGGACTCTGCTGAAACGGGCCGTTCGACTGCCCCTCGCACGCAGGCAGGCAAGCGCGCCATCGCGCAGAGTCTCGTGGCCGATGAGAGCGCTCCGGCTGTGCTCACGGCCACCAGAAACTCGAAAAGAGCCTCAGCCGACCCCCTAGGACAGCCCAAGAGGGCCCCTGGAGAACCCCACCAGGGCCTCAAGAGCCCCCCCCTGAACAAGAGAGCGCACGCAACAAAAAGAAACACAAGACGGGCAGGGCAGCCGGACCCCTCCTGCGCCTGTCTTCCTCGCGGGGATCCCTGGAGCCCCTGTTGGGCCCCCGTGGGGCCACCCGGGCGCCCCGAACTCGGGCGCCCCGAGAGGCCCCGGCCCCCTGTCGCGGGGGCTGGGGAACGGGGAGGACAGGAGGAAACGGCCCGCCTAGAGGCCCACGCCCTCCGGCAGCTGCCCCTCGGCACGCAGGCGAAGGAGGGGGGACTGGCCTATGGCCTGTGGTGCCAGCCGCCTCGTCCCAGAGAGTGCTGCCCCGTCCCTCTGGCGCTGGGCACGCTCCGACTCAGCCAGAGCTCCTGGGCGTTGAAGTGCACGCAGCTCGGCAAGACTGGAGGCACCTCGGCAACGAGAGCGAAGAATCGCCGATCGCTGCCGCTGCGGCTCCGCCTCGGCCGACGCGGAGGCCCCGGTAGCACGAGGAGGGGGAGGAGGGAGGAGGAGGAGGGGGAGGAGGAGGAGGAGGAGGAGGAGGGAGGGAGGAGGGGGAGGAGGAGGAGGGAGGAGGAGGAGGAGGAGGAGGAGGAGTAGGAGGAGAGGAGGAGGAGGAGGAAGGAGGGAGGAGGAGGAGGAGGAGGAGGAGGAGTAGGCTGTTGAAGCGCAACAGCTCCGCCGCTGACGTTTGCCTCGCGCAGGAGAAGCGAGGAGGACGACGAGGAGGGCGAACGAACGGAGGAACAGGGGGAGGGGGGAGGAGGAGGGCAACGACGACCGCGAGGCGATGGGAGGAGCCCCCTGGGACGGGAGGCGGGAGGCCCGGCCGCCTCAGGCGCAGTAGTCCCCGAGACCCTGCCAGAGGCAGGCCACGAAGGCCTCCAGGGACGCCGGCTGCGCGTGCTCCGCCTTTGGGGGGCCGCCTCGTCCGCCGTCCGCCGCCCGCCGTCGTCGTCGCCGTCGTCGCCGTCGTCGTCGTCGTCGTCGTCGTCGTCGTCGTCGTCGTCGTCATCGTCGTCGTCGTCGCCGTTGTCGTCGTCGCCGCCGTCGTCGTCGTAGTCGTCGTCGACGTCGTCGTCGTCGTCTTGTTCGTCGTGTTTGTCGTCGTGTTCGTCGTTGTCGCCGCCGTCGTCGTCGCCGTCGTCGTCGTCGTCGCCGTCGTCGTCGTCGTCGTCGTCGTCGCCGTCGTCGTCGTCGTCGTCGTCGTCGTCGTCGTCGTGGTCGTCATCGTCGTCGTCGTCGTCGTCGTTTTCATCCTTGGTCGTTGTGCTTTTCCTGCTCCTCCTCCCCCTCCTCATCCTCCTGTTCCTCGTCCTCCTTCTTCTCCTGCTCCACCGCTGACGCATACTCAAAAGGCTCCCGTCAAGTTTCCTGGGATGTCGTCGCCCTCCTCCTCCTCCTCCTCCTCCTCCTCCGTCTCCTCCTCCTCCTCCTCCTGACCCTCCTCCTCTTCTTCTTCCTCCTCCTCCTCCTCCTCCTCCTCCTCCTCCTCTTCGTCCTCCTCCTCCTCCGCCTCCTCCTTCTCCTCCTCCTCCTCCTCCTCCTTTTCCGCATCCCTCCATCCGTTTTCCTAGTGGGCACTTCCTCCGTGTCACACGCTCGCACGCTCGCTGGCTCGCTTGCTCGTCGAAGGCGTGTACTCCTCCTCGTCCTCCGACGTAGCGATCAAGAGTGGTATGAAGAGTGGGAGGAGAAGGATGGAGGATGGAGCGTCGGAGGACAAAGGAGGAGGAGGAGGAGGAAGAG